AACGAAATGGCCACGTTACGCGATATGAACTCAATATTAAGAGATTTTGGAAATTCTTGTACAATGATACGTGTTTTAGCCTCTAATAAAACCAATTTTTTTTTTAAGGCACTTTTTCGCCTAACTAATGAATTCGACTTGAAAATTGGATGAAGGGAATGAATGAAATCTATTTTACATCATGACGTAAGAATCTCCATCAAGTCACACTCACACACACACCCACATATTTAAACCTTCTTGTGCGGGAGCTAAAGATATTCTTGATCTTATATAGCATACACCCAATCAAAAGCGTTACATTTGCTTTCTTTAGTTATTGTGTGTGGTGTGTGTAACGTTCTATCTTCGACCTATATATATATATATATATATATATATAACTTGTTCTGTAAAAATGTATACTAATCGATAGGTAAAAGATTAATTTGCATCTGAGGATGATTGAACGTAACATCTATATACTAATATATAAATTTTGTCAGAACCCAAATTATATATGTGACTTGACTTGGGAATATCGTACTTTTTGGATGATTTTGGATGGATGTTTACGTTTAGTTATTTGAGTAATTGCATTATTTGAAGTTACCATTGACATGGAGAGAGTAAAGTTCTTTTTGTTTATCCGGTTATACGAAGTGTCCCATGATTCTTTGCATCATAAGTTCATAATAACGTATCTTCTACAGTGCATGAGTTAGCTATTTTTCTAATTACAACTACTAATAACTTCGCGCGAGAAATTCTTTTCATTATAAGTTTAAATTAAAGAGTACCTATTGAATAAAATCAATTAATTGTCCAACTTTTTTATTGGATACAATTTAAGTGTCCAACTAATGATCTAAATTTAGATTTCACAACTTTTTACAGAACACAAAGGCATCTAAAATGGACTCATACAGTAAAAGCAAAGCCGAAAAGATAGCATTTAGAAGTTATGGTCCAATTCTTAGTTTGAGAGCATTTTGAAGCTAACACAATTATCAGTGAATTTAGGAGAATTAGAAGATATGTTATAGTCTCCTTGCTTCTAAATATAAAAGTTAGTGATGAAATTTATATTTTAATTCTAAATATAAACTCAATACCTTTCTTAAATTATATAATCTTTTTTTTATTGTTTCAATTGATTGTACATATTGAAAAAATTTTATTAAGATAATTTCAATACAAATTATTAAGAAAGGTATTTCAAGAAAATTAATACATAATTTTTACAAATCATTAAATTTTTTAATATTTTGAATGATTTTTTTTTTTTGGCAAGCATAGGTATCTTCCTATTGGAGGCAATCCTATTCGAGGCACTGTCGGACACCAAATGTGGACATCTCTTCTAGCAGGGATTCAAACCTTAGTTCACCTCGTTGTGAGGGATTAGCTCATTCTGCTAGACTCAATCTCCGTTAGTTATTTATGAATGAGTTATTTAGCTTCCATATTAACCATGTGGAGGAATGTATTTTTAGGGTCAAGGTGCATCCAATACTTCGAAATATTTTCTTAGGTCTATCCAGGATCCTGAAGTATTTTTTTAATTGTGTCTACCACGATGAAGTATTTTTTTTTTTGTACATCTAACAACCTCAAGTATCTTTTATGTGCGTCCAATATCCTAAATTTTTTTTTATATGCATCTAGCACTAAGGCCAAAAAAAAACTTTAGGGTGCTAGATGTCCCATGAAATATTTTAGAATTTTGGTTGTACCCAAGAAAATATTTTAGGATACTACATACACCTTAATACTATATTTTTAACCTAATGCGTGGCACAGGATCTGTCAATTGAACGAATAATTAATGAATTAATTTCTATATATTTACATGCTTAGAATTTGCAAGGAAACTTCTCATAATATGCCCCCTAAGAGTAGTGGTAGGAACTAGGAAGGAAGTTTCCAAGACACAGGTCCAACGCAACATTGTCATATTGGAATAAATCTGACGTGAAATTCACATAGCTTCTACACACACCCACACACACACAGATTATAAAATGTTGGCCAAAAAATATACAGATTATATAATATTGGACCTAAAATTTTGATCATTGATGAATTTCGACAGAAGCAATAGTATAAGATTCCAGATAGCAACAACCACAATCTTTTAATAATTTGACATTATTAACTTTGTTTTATCTGTTGACCTATAAAAAAAAATGTTGACTGGTACTAAAGGGCAGCACACCGCACATATATGAACAGTTCCAATTGCAATGCCACTTTAATATTCATATATATATATAAATATATATTAACCAAAGAGTTTTATGGCCAAATATTAATCCAAAAAAGTATTGAATCCTAGATTTGTCTCTTAATTATTATGCTTGCGTGCATGTGTGAACTCACAGACTCTTATGTTGTGCACATTAGGATAAGGTGAATAATAAAATAATAATGTCCGGATTTAATTAATACTGGAAGATATTTTTACTCCTTCATTCTGCATATACATCATCTTGATCATTTATTCTTTTATTTGAAGGAGAAACTTAAGAAGGAAGAAAACGGAAAGAATCTCTGATGAAAGTGAAAGGAACAAAACATGTAATTAAGTTTAGTTTTATATATGAATAATATTATCATTTGACATATTTTAACACTAAAAATCACGCTGAGCAATTTTTTTAATTCCTTGGCATTCATGACAGGATGCATTATATATATCGTTCTCACGTGGGAGCCAAAACGTTGTAACCATTAAGGCATTGGTTTTACGAATAAAGCGTGAAGTCCTCTACGAATGCAAATGTCTCCGTGTTTTTTTTTTTTTTTAACCCCTTTGGCCTCATGCAAACATACTATCTCTTATCCTTAACATATGAATTATATAACTAATACATGAATATTAAAAAAAATTATCTAAGTTAGTTATTTATAGTAAATGTCTAAAATATCCTTGTTAATTATGTACCTTGGAATCACTCTTTGATTAAAAAAAAAAAAAACTCCTTAATACGTGAATTCATTGTAAGAATTACTTTGGGACAAAATAGATGTGAGGCAATACAGATTAAAGTATTATATTTAAAATCAAAGTAAATTTGCAAATAACTCTTACATTAACAGTTGGAGGTAGTATTATTTTAATTAACTGTGAACCATATACATGACCTGTTTCAGATAATTATATGTATCGTACGTCTCTCTGTGTTTGTGTGCGTCGTTCATGACGAAAGTTCCATTAGTATTAGAAAAATAAAATTAAAAAATTTATATACGACTATTGTCTAGCTAGTAATGCTTCAGACGAATATTATTCTACACGTACGTGTTCTTAATTTTTTCTTGTTTGAGCAAAAGTACGTGTTCTTAACTTAAGGAAGGATTTTTGTTAAGATTAATGGTATGATGTCTGTTTCTACATGTTCTTAGAGGGCAAGTTCTGGGGATCCAGTGGCAGGACAAAATTCTCAAAACTGATTAATTATTAGTTAAGATTCAAATCCAACAAGATTTTAATTGATAAATATCCTGATGTCCCCGTATATATGCGATTCTCATACTTGTGCGTATGCATGTATGTACACTCCGATCACTAAGATATGCTACCTCCAGTCTTTAATATAAAAGCTAGTTTGGCATTCAATTTAGTCTTAAATATAAAATCTTAATCCGTTTTATTTCTTATATTTATCTATTTTTTAAGATAGTTTTTATAATAGTTGCCCATATTAAATATTTTATCAAATAGTAGTTTTAGCTAATATATATGATTAGCAAGGATATTTTAGGAAAGATAACATATATATATTACAAATAACTAACTTAACAAATTTCATTGAATATACTCAAATTAGTCAATTAACTCTTATATTATAGGAATATAAGCCAGATGTAACATACACAATCTCTCTCCAAAAGTGTTAAAAAAATACGCAAGATTCAGAACAAGTTTTAAAGGAGGCACTATTACATATTTTGGCTTATGTGACGTTAATTTACCATGCTTATGAATGAAACATAAACGTCAAGGCAAAGCCTTTATTTCACAGTTATTACAAAAATCGTAAGGAAACTTGACAATTTTGCTGGATTCAGGGTTTAGAATAAAAGTCATGAATTTAGTATCTTCTTATTCTTTTTTTTTTTTTAATTATAGTTATTTAACTGTACTTCATAAACAGAACATTACTGTTTTATTAACTTTTCAACGGATATAATCAATTTTGCAATGGGGTAAGAATACAATGAGCATGTATTTATAATTTTTTTTCACATGCATTGCATACAAATTTAAATAGCAAATCTTTACAAACTGAATCAGAATTATATACACAATAAGAGGGGAAATGACAATTTCTGCTTCGGCGTTGAGCTTTAATTTGCCCGCGTTGAAATTCTCAGAAGCTGCGTCCCTTTCCATTGCAGAACCATTTCATTGCCATTATTGCCTTCAATCTTAACCTCGTACGACCCTTGCATTCGTCCCAACATTTCTCCTACTTCCATTAATGTCTCCTCCCTCAAGCTTCCACCCCCTAACTCTATTTCTGATTGAACATTCCCACATTGTCTCATCTCCTCCCACCTCCGAAGCCAATCCTCACATGATATATATGGCGCCACGAATAGATTCTCCATAGCTGTTCTTGCCTCTGAGAATTGGAATGGGAAATTTGATTCTACGGATTCTAATAAAGCATGGTAATGCTCCAAATGGCCATTAAAGAAGGACATGAAATCGGTGCTGTTTCTCAGTTTCTCACAGGCTTCTCCATCACCAAAAGATATAATTCCCCTGTTGGCAGTTGAGCTTTTGATGAAATCCTTTGCTACTTGTAGAAATTCCAAGACATGTCTCCTACTTCTGACCCTTCCCATATGTGGAAGACCCGCCATGCAATTGAAGGCCACGAAATTTCTCTTTCCATTTCCATGCCCACTCCTTTTGTTCAATTTCTTAAGCTCTGTCACCAATTCCTCGATCCTCTGTTCCTCCACCTTCAACTTCAAACCAGATGATTTGGCGTGTTCATAGAGCTTCCTTCTGATTTCTTCAAATTTCCATTGAGTGGAAACATAACCAATATCTGGACTCTCCTCTTCTTCCAATGTCATAACAGTCAGTTTCAAAGTTTTGTGCTGTTGAGCAATAGCCTCCATCAATGGAGGCCATTGACCCCCTTCTCCCATATCAAAGTCTATTATATGTATCACTTCTGAATCAGCTGGTATGGATCCTAGAATTACTGAATTGGCTGCAAAATGAGCAATTCTTCCATGTGGGAGGCCTTGGTAGATAGCCTTGAAAAAGTCGCGGAAGCTCCTGTAGGCCTCCTGTTTGATGAAACTCCCTTGATCTGCATCATCATGATTTTGGGACAAAATGAATGCCAGACGTTCAAGGGGATCACCAAGAGGGCTTACTTTGTGGCTGATGCGTCTCAGAATCACTTGTGCAAGTGTGTTCTGTCCTTGCTCTAAGACTTCTCCAACGGCTTCCAGAAGATGAGGAAGACTCAACTGGTTCTCCATCTCCATGTCTTCTCCTAGTATGATCAGTGATGGTGGTGCTTGTACTACTGTAGACATGCCTGATTGCTTCGATGTGGTTGGACTCCAAACATCTCTCTGAAAACACGGGTTCTGGGAAGCAAAGCTTATTCCCTCACCTTCTTCAGGGCATCCATGAAAAATACCCGGACTTAGAGAACTCAAAGTGGGATCAAAAGCATCAAGATCCATGGAGAAATCATCAATCAATGATGGGAGTTCATCAACAGGGAAATAGACATGATCAGTGCAGAAGACTCCAGAAGAAGCATCCTCTGAAGTGGGGAACAAAAGAGCGTCCACGTTGAAGTCCAAAGACTCAACATGATCAAAAGTTGAGCTTATGCCTTCACAGGACGACCAAGAATGCTCTATCTCAGGCTCCATCTTTATATTCTGGTTTTTCTACACGTTGAAGAGAAAGAAAGAGACTCTTGTTTATGAGTTGATATGGTGAATGGCCTCTCTGAATATTTATAGGCGAAATCAAAGGACCATGTGAAAACAAATCAGTATTCCTACATGGTAGTTAGCTTGCTAGAGGAGAAGAAGAAAGTTTGTCATTATATATACAAAAATTTGTTTCACAAGTACTCCTCATGTCCTTAATATAAGACATAATTCTTGAGTTGGTTTTGGTCCTAAATATTAGACCAATTTCTCATATTTATCAATTTTTTCTAAATTACCCATATGGATACTCCCTCAACCATAATCAAGTAGAAGAGGGAGAGGGGTATTAAGAAAGATGATTATGGTGTTTTAGGAAAAATGCATCACTTTTCTTATAATTAACTAACTTACCTAACTTCCTTAATCTAATCAAATTAGTTAAAAGGGTCTTATATTAGGGACTGGAAGAGTAGATTAACTTGCATTAAATGTGTTCTACATCTGAACTGATAGATTGTGTGTATTATTTGCATAGATTAGTCATTAATATCGATAAACAAATGTACTCGGAATATAATTTTGTATTAGAATAGATAATATAAAAATGAAGAATTTCGTCAATCCTTATATATTAATGACAGATAAGTTTGTTTTACGCCTACTTTCATAATTATGGCATATTTATATATATTCCTAGAGAGTGGCCATGGCAAGCCTTGAGTGTCTTGTATGAACCTCTGATGTTAAGTATTTGGATATTTTACGTAACAATTAATTAGTTAGTAGTATAACAATTAATGTCATTTTCTGAGGTCCAAAAAAAAAAGTCATTTTCCTTCACAATTACGTTTCATATCAGTAGAAAGTTGTTTCAGAAGCTTCACCCAAATGGCTACTTGTGCTTGAATGTTATGTCTTATAGCTTATAACATGATTTATAATAAATTTTTGTACTTCTTGGTCCTACATGTAAGATTTATTTTTATAACATAGGTCTTACATTTATGATTAGAGAAGTACTTTATATATTTCCCATGCATCATCCAAATATCGCACTAAAAAGGGTAATGAAGTGTGCAAGGATTATTGATTTGAACCTTTTTAGTCGCCTTGGGTTAAATCAAAAATAAAACCAAATTATACAGTAAAGCACAACTCGGGTCGAGTCTCTTGAGGAGCTTTTTATTAATTCCTTAGTTAACTAAGTGACAAAGAATTGAAAGGAGGGGTTGAAAAAGGATTTTTCAATTAATAAAACTAATTAAGAGAGTAAGAAATAAATCTAAACTACTTTTTTTTGGTACTTTTAAGAAAGAATGAAAAATGCAAATTTGAATTGTAAGAAATCAATAACAAGAATGCTCTTGAGGAATGAATCAATGACTATCCTAGCTTGTTTAATGATATGGGAGTAACTTAAGTGGTTAAGATTGGTTTATATAAGTTATTCCTTTTAAATTAATACTCAACTAGAACATTAATTACTTGTTAAATTCACTTCAAGCATAATTTCTATACAACTCGCATAAAAATCACACTAACAATGACTTAACAAAGGCATAAACATAAATATATGTATAAACCAAGTACTCAAACTTATAAATACCAATCCAAATCTCAGCAATTCCAATCCAAACCAAGAATTACAACTAGCAACTCTTAGCTTTAAACCAAATATAACAAACTTCAAACCAGAAATCATCAACAAAATAGTCTAAACTAAGGACTAGAATTAAACTCCCCTTTTGTAGCTCCCAAACTCAAGTCATTGAATTCAATCCCGAAGAGCACAGCGAACTCAGCCTCTCATAGCCTTTAACCAAGCTACAACTCGTGCCAAATATTCAGTAGCCATAGAGGATAGATGGAGGAGAAGAAAGATGAATTTGGAAGATTGAAATTGAAGTGTTGCGGTGGTGGTGTATGCGTGAAGGGAAGGGTGTAAAGGAGTGTATATGGCCGAAAGGGAAAAGGACGAAACTGGTGGAGAAAGAATTTGGTGTGGCGGCGTACGAAGGTAGCGTATGAGTGTGGTGTAGGTATGGCTCGGTGTGAAGGACGTGAAGGGGTGTGAGTGAGGGGTCCCTTGATTGTGCGTTGCGGTGGTATATATATATGAAAGGAATGGGGGGAGGTGGCGGCGTGGTCTTGCGTGTAGGAGGGGAGATATATCCGAATCAAATCTGAAGGAGCAAGGATGATTGGGCGGCCTCTTTTTTAATCCATAATAATATCATAATCTGATGCCTTGATATCCAAGTTGTTTGCGTCTCCAATTTCCTTTTTTTCTTCTTCTTCCTTTCAGCTTTCTATGATCTTTATTTCCTTATTTTTAAGGCCTGCAAAAGATAAATTGAGATACTATCATAAAACCCAAAATCAATTATTTAAAAAGAGATAAAAATATGATAAGATCTCTTATTAAATCTCTAATTTCATGCAATCAATATTTGATTCAGAATACTCACAATTAATGCAATTTATCTCACTTTAATTGATAAATATCTTCAAAAAGGATATCAAATAATATGTTAAAATCAGGATTTATCAACTATTCATTAGAAGAAGTCATATTGTTTATGGTTTATAAATATTATATATATTATTTTATTATATATAAATAAATTTACACGAAGTCGTAATCTCTTTTCTAATTGGCAAGCTTTTCACAATAAGCCATTGAGAAATGAACTTGATACACAGCAGACGATTTCAAGATTCAAATTTTTTTGTTAATAATATAAGATATAGATAATAATGTGATGCATTCACAACTATGCGAACAAATTTTGATGCTAAACAAAGTAATAAGTACCTGATAAACTCAATTATTTTTGTATTTTGATATCTTTTATATGGGTTTTGTCAACTTAATTAGTCTTTTTATTCTTAATTGATTGTTAATTGAGTTAATATGTTTTATTTTGAATTATTATTTTATAGGAGAAAAATTGTCATATTTTGGTTTAATTATGACTAACTGATTTTTAAGGGCAATTAATGCTATCTTATTCTTGAATTTTGATTGCAGGTTTTTGGAAGGCTTAAAAATAAAAATAAATAAATAAAATAATAAAAAGAGGGAACAAAACGGAACGTTTTGGCCCCCATCCCTAATATTCAACTATTCATACTCATCATCTTCATTGGACGCAAGGGTGCGAGTTGACGGCAGATCTAGAGGACGCGAGGGGCACTTGGCGGCTACGTGTGTGGCACTATTCATCATCTTCTTCCTCTCCGCGTTGCGCAACAGAACCAGAAGAGTGGCAGCCAACAGAGACAGAACGAAGGATCAGAAAACAGTGAGCTCACGGCAAAATCATACCTCCAGATTCCATCTTCATTGTTCTTCATGGCTGTACCAAATTGGAATTTTGGTGGAGCTATAGTGATGGTCAGGAGCAGCCAAATACTTCCAATTCTCTAGAGTAATGGTTATGGCTTGAACTAAGAGTTTCAAAAGGGAGTTTCAGCTCTTCCAATCTTTACTTCTTTCATTATAATAATGATTTTTAGGTCTTAGAATGAATTTTGCAATATTTGAATGTGTTGTAATGATTTATATTTGTGTTGAGATTGGTTGTAGCTGCTGGAATCTTTGATTAGATTTGACATTATACTGTGATTAACTTTAATTTCCTTACATTGTACTTGGTTAGATTATGTTTTGAAATTATGGTGAATATTTAATGGTAATTCAATGTGGCTTGGTTATTGGACTACAAATGTTAATTGTTTTTCTTTGGTTCTCCTTAGCTAATTGTGCTGAAACAGTTTCGTTGTAAGTAATTAATATGCAAGGTAGCTTGATGTTGATTATTCTAATTAAACTGAATCTAAGGGGTGACCCTTGGAGTCTTTTGAATTTAACTAACTCCTAAATTAATTGAAGTAATAATAACCTTAATCATTGTGCTAGAGGATTGCTTTTTCATTTGCTATCACTTGTTAATTCTCTTTATTTATTTCGTTCATATTTATTTTATAAACTAAAAATCCAAAAATTATTTACTCATTTTGCATCCTTTTAAATTTTGCCAATTAGTTAGTTAAAAAGAAAATCAATCCCTTTCCAAGTCACTGAGTCAATTCTATATTTTTGATACTTAGTTTCTTTAGGATTTCAAATAAAGACTCTTCAAAGTAAAATGATCCGAGTTTTGCACTATATTGCATTGCTTAGATTTATTTTTGACTAGGAATCCCAAGGCAAACGACAAAGGCTCCCATCAATACCAAAAACTCATAACTATTGATTTTAATTTTTTAACTTTTATTTTTATGAAGAATATTTTAATATGTATAAAATTTAAAATAAAAATAATATCTTAACTACTCCCTCTGCCCCTTATCATAAATCATGCGGTTCAAAATGTTACTTAAATTTGATTAAAAGTAGTAAGTGTGTAAGATATAAACATATTTTTCTAATTATATCCATGTTTATAAAGAGAGTACTATATGAGCGATAATGAGTAAAAGTTTATTGTAAAGAGATAATAAGTGAGATATTTTTAATAGGATAAAAATGAAAAGATTAGTTTGATATTTCAAACAAAGAGGAATTGTTTTTTTATACTCAGAAACACCAAGAGTGATTATTTCTTGTAAAAAGGGAATTTAAAAGGACTTTTTATTGAAAAAGTTTTGGATGAAAATTTCAAATCTGGACTTTTGAAATTATATTTCATCTTATTTCCACAACGATGAGAGATAGGCACTGACTGGTTCCCATATATATGCGTTCCTTTATCAATTATCATCCAATCAACTGATTCCCGTAATGGGTCAGCCAATAAAACATTTTACAATAATTCTTTCTTTATTTTATATATATGTATATATTTATATAAATATAGCCCGAACGTTGAAGCATCTCTCTACGTGCTATCAAAACATTAACAACTGAAAAAGATATTATTAATTAGAGTATATGTAAATTCAGGAAGATGCATGTAATGTTAATTTGCTCCCATATTAATTAAACTTTA